AAGCTCTCATCTTGATGGACCCTGTTGTGTCTCCAGTATGCTGACAATCTAGTAAGAGGAGACGTAAACTCACAGAAAAATATATCCCAATATAACTTCTAGGGCTAATTTTGTTTTGTTAGCCAGCTGGGTGTTTTCGGTTGGATATTTTTTTCCTTTAGTGGGGAGGGACCCTAGGGACTTATACATGCTAAGGCATTAAGTTATTCCCCAGCACTTTAAAAATTTTATTTTGAGGGCTGGGGTATAGCTCAGTGATACAAGCTCCTGCCTGGCAAGTGCAAGGTCCTGAATTTGAGTCCCAGTATATATTTGAACTTGCAATCCTCCTGTCTGTCTCCTGAGTGGCTGGCATTACAGCTGTGTGCCACCTCACCCAGCTAGCTGTCTTTAAACGTGGGCCTGTTTGAGGGTCACTGGGGATCATCATGAAATGCATGTCTTCTGATCAAGTTCTAGTTGATTCTGATTCAGTGTTCTGCAGGTGGAGCTGGAGTCTTACTTTGGAAAATGAGCTTTGCAGAAGTTCTGGTGAGCATGGACTAGAGAGAAAATTCCAGGCCTGGAGGTCAGGGCAAGCTGCCATTGGTGCAGAGGGTGCTCTGAAGGAGGATCCTAAATGCTTCTTTGTCTGCGTGAGCTCAGGGGAGGCTGCATGTGTGGCTCCTGTCCCCAGCTCTGACAACTGCGTCCCTCCCAGGGTGCCGCTGATTTTTGGTTTTCCTGTCCTGTCATCTGGCAACCAGGCAGCACTTTAGGCTGAGCAGCACCTCTTTCCTTAAGCAGAAAGTGTCTGTCTGGGGCTGCCTCTGTGACACCTTGTCAGCTAGCTGTCACCATTAGTCTTCTAGTTCAGTAATTGGAGTGGACACTGAGTGTCACTGTGGATCAATGCTCAGAATCCCCAGTCTGCTTTGGCCTGTGTCATCCATTTCCCCCCGGGTGGGGAGGAAAGTAGTGGGGAAGTGGTATTTTTAGATTTTCCTCAAATTTTCCTGGCTTCTTGTTATGGAGAGGGGCTACATTGGAGCCAAGGGAAGGATGGGGATGGATCGAGGACCCCCAAGCCCACCCCTGGGTAGCTGGGCAGCCACCTCAGCTTTCTGAGCTGGCAAGAGCTGGGGAGAAGGGAGGAGCAGCCTCTAGGGGCTTTAGGGGATGAAGTCGTTGAAATGTGATCAGCTCCATCTGTCATTACATGTGGGTCAGAGCCCACACGGTTTCCCCAGTCCCACTTCATCACTCATAACTCAGGATGGGGCCCTGGAGGCCTTTGGGCTGTGGTCGGGATGAGGAGAGAGTTACGCAAGAGTAGCCCCGAGCCTTGGCTTTTGCTTCATGTAATTAGCCCTGTGGAGGGGGACAGGAGCTGGGTATTTTCGTATAATTCTCTCAACCACCCTGTGACACAGGGCTTATTATCTCTATTTTATAGGAAAAGAAACTTGCCTCCAGTCAGGGAATGTTAATGTCACAGCTACAATTCCAACAGCTCAAGCTTTTAAAATTATACTGTGTGGCTTCCAGGGCATCAGCGTGGAAATCAGGAGAACTGAGCTTTCTTTCAGGCTCTGCTGCCAATTTCATGACCTTGGACAAATCCCTTCCTTCACAAGTCACCTTCCTGGACTGCATAGCAGGGTGGGGACAGATGCCCAGACTCAGGCACAGGCTCGAGGCTCCCGGTGTCCTAGAACCCTCCTTGGCCATGTGGCTACCTGACAGTCTGGGAACAGAGCAGAGGTTTGCAGTCCACCTCCAGGTGGTGTCTGCCACTCCTGACTTTTGAGGACCTGGTAGTACCTCTTTGCTACCTGTCTTGCTTTTGGGAGGGACAAAGCCTGTCTTTCTCAACTTCATAGAGATTTCCTTTTTTTTTTTTTTTTTTTTAAAGTAGCTATGAGATGAAAAAGTGTGTAAATATATGTAAAAGTGTAAACTGGATCACATTGTGAACGTTCATTTGGCTACTTCAAGGCAGTTTTCATTTCTTTCCTTATTTACAGTACAGAGGATGAGCCCCAGAGCCCATTCATGCTAGGCAAGTGCTCTACATAGAACTTCATCCCCAGTGCATCAAAGGCTGATTTTAGATTTCCTACCTCACTTGAACAAGGAGCAGATGGAGTCCTTTTATTGTTGTGTCACACCTGTCCATTTTGTTATGAACAGGAAATTATACATATTATATTTGTTCCAGAGATGAATGTTGCTGAGGAGATAGCTCAGTAGAATAAGGACTCTTCTGGCAAGTGCAAGGTCCTGAGTTCAATCCCTGGTACAAAAAAAGAAAGAAAGAAAGAAAGAAAGAAAGAAAGAAAGAAAGAAAGAAAGAAAGAAAGAAAGAAAGAAAGAAAGACCCACACAAATCCAGAGATGAATGTTGATTTAGATGATGGGGCTAGGGCTCTTCCCTACCAGCTAGGCCATTTCTTAGGGCCCTCTCCTGGAACGATCAGTCATTCTTCTATTAATCCTTATGTCAATTTATTAAATTCTCATGGTCTAAAATTTGTCTCTTTTTATTGTTTTAAGATAAACCTGAGTAGTCGGGGACTCACAGGTATTTCTGATGGACCAGTGGCAACAGCTTTAGAGGTCACCAGGAATTACAGACAGATTCTCAGGTTGATGGGGAATGGGTTTGCCACGTTACACACTGGAAGTGCCACAGCTGTGATTTCTAACCTTGCCCTTTACTGTGGTGTGTTAATGTCCCTGTGTTGCCATTATTTCATCCCTTGCGTGGAGAGACGGAAAAGTCACGGATATGTAAAGGTGGGATACATTGCCAGATGTGGTGTCTGGGAGCTCACTGGTTTTTTTGGCGGGGTGTGAAAATTGAACCCAGGACCTTGTGCATACAAGGTAAGAACTCTGCCATTGAACCACACCCCAGCTTGCCTTGTTACCTTCATAGTGCACTTACTTAGTGCTTTTTAGTGCACAGACATCACTTCAGTTGGTACTCACACAGTTCTGTGATGTAAGGTAACAGCTATATTTCTTATTTCTGTACAGCAGTACCTTAGTTCATGAACTTGATACTTTCCGTGATGCGATTCTGGTCGCAAACTGAGTTGGAAGAGAACTGAATAAAATTCAGTGGTTAGGTTAATGTTGATCTTATGGGAAAAGAAACATTTGATTTGGTTCTCATCCAGTTCGGACTGTAACCAGAACTGTGGAGAGAATGGAGTTTGTGAACTGAGGTACCACTGTGTTTATTGTCTGAGCTTGTATATTGTCAGTTATGAAAATAATTTTTGAAATGGCATGAAACTATTGAAATCAGAGCAATCAGCAGGAAAAAAAAGTAACAGCTGGCACTTGTTAGAGAGCATTCTATGTACCAAGGATAATTCCAAGGGTTTTTTTTTTTTTAATTTTATTTATTTGTGTGTGTGTGTGTGTGTGTGTGTGTGTG